TTATGTTCATTTTGGGAGTTTCAATTTCAGTAGCCCATCGAAGTTTTTGGTAGAGAAATGCGCCAAACTTTCTCATTGAGGGCTTCCAAAGATATGGGTTGTTTGTACTTTAATACCTTTGTTTCTCTTTAATAGTGCAGTTTATATACTTAGTAAGTTGCTTCGAGATATACTTGCAGTATTGGTTTTGAATAATTTCAATCTTGGTAATTTTTCTTGGTTCATCTCTTGATCATTTTTTTATTTTAGTCTGAGATATTTTGTAGATATTGTGTTACTAATATTTAAACCCCTACCTGGCTTGATATTGGCGCAATTAATGCACGACCGTCCACCCTGCTAAAAATAAAACATCCGCAGAACTACTAATTAATACTAAAACAACTATTAACTCTTTGAAACTAAACTACCAACTTTACAAATCACAGGATAAATTACGCAAGCTCCGAAGGTAACGGTTACCTTCAGATCAACTTCATTGTCGTTACGTTGGTTATCTCTCTCATCAAGTTTACTATTTCGTTTGATTTACTCTTTCACCAACACCATAGTAACATCACGTACGTGTTTACCACTAACCACACATCGTGCCTAGGGACGCGCTCACGTCGTCTGGCGGGTCGTGCGTTATCTCAGTAATCTGTTATCTATGACCTTGAACTGGTTGCAAGGTCATGGCATCGCTGACCGTGGTCTGAGCAGATGTCCAAGCTACCAAGTATCGTTTGTTTCCCACATTATACAATTTTTAAACGTTTTAATTTTTTTCTTCCATTTTAGTTATTATATTTTTTAATTTGATTTACGTAAGCTTAATAAACTCAATCTAAGTTGTCGAATTTGGTCAGTTTATGTGTCTCAATGGTTTTTAAAAGCCCGAACATATTCAATTAAGAGTTTTTACCGAGATTAAATGTAATTGCACTTTTACCCTATATTGGGTTAAATTTTTTTACGATACTTTGTGTGTATCAAAATATCGTACTTTTTATAAATCAACTGCCTATAGCATAGGCAATATTTTGTATTTTCCATAGTTTTAGTAATATTGGTACTACTCTTTTTTAAATAGATAAATCAACTAGGTACTAATCTAACATTTACTAAATATTTTAGTAATTTAAGCAGATTAAACACAGAGTACAAGTTGTACAATGATAAAATTGTTAAAAGAAAATAAGGTTTAGTTTAAATAACAGTAATTGTAAGCATGTCGGTTGTCAACAATTAAGTCAAATCATCTTAACTATAGTATATCCTAAATAATAAAAATATAACTAAAATCTCATCATATCAATTAAATAAGAACAAGAGATAATGGTAATGTAAAATGTTGCATAAAATATTGTACTTGTTATAGAAACTGTCGTTTACAAATATCTGTTTATTAATAGGCATGTTTCTTGAAAACCTTTTTTCTCAGATCCTGTGCATCGCAGGGAAAATCTACGCATTCTAGAAAGATATTTGCCTGCAGATGTGCAGAGCTCCTTTTAAAAATTAAAATAAGCACAAGAAATGAATTTTAAATTTTAATGAATTAACATGGGCCTCATGGGTTGCCATGCTGGTGACGAAATAACAACAAAATATAAACAGAAGATCAAAACAAATGGTAAAAGTTCCAATCATATGTTTTATTTACAGCGTGGGGTAAAAATGGAGAAGTTTTCACAATCCATATTTTTGGTCGAGTTTTCGACCACTGGACGACCTCTAAAGGTAATCAACCGACTACACACTCTTTTACTTTTTCACCCATCCAAGCTATCATCTCCTACTAAAAATTAAACAGCAATATGTGTTTCCAAACTGCCAACGCCTGCTAGATTACGACATTGTGGACTTCCCTATTGACCAATAGAAGGCATCGGCGACGCCGCTATAGGAGGCAGCGGAACAGTGACAGTGATCTGTGGATTATGCAACGACTTCCGGTCACTCCAGGATGCCGGATATAGCAGGTGACATAACCTCAAAAGTCTTCACACTTAGCTGATTAACTTTCTTTCCTCTCTCAAAGGCAGTAGGTCTCGGAAAATGTGTAGCCGTTCGTAATGCAACAAAACAATAGGGACTCAGTGTGACAGATAGGTTTGGTTGACGTTTGAAATAATAAATAAACGGAATCCGCAATCTAACACATACTTCATTATATTAGCTGTTTAACCTCATGGGACAGTGATGGGAGTAATGGTAATGTTTATGGGTGTAATCAAAAAAGTTGCAATAGCTTTTAGCTGTAATTTTACAGCATTGGGATTGTACCATTTTGTTTAGAGTACCTACCATAGGGATACACACAAAATTTTAATCAAAATTGCTATGGGCGTTTTAGTAAAAATAAGACTTTCAGTTTTTATGGGAAAATTATTGTTAAAAATCAAATGTCAACCAAAAATGAAAAAGAACGTCTGAATATACTATGGATTACAACCCACACACCAAATTACAAAATCGGACCAAAGGTGTGGTCCGTAGCTCTGAACACATCTACACATACATACAAAACCTCTCTTCCATACACACACCACATACTATATACCACATACACTTTATTCCACCTCAAATTACAGCCAGATTAGGATTTGTATTAGATACCAAATTTTTGTTCCATGGGGCCCAAAACGGATACTTACTCCTTATACTATGTTTAGGATTATGTTAGGTTTATGTTATGTCTAAGTTTACTATGTTTGTGAGAAATTAAAATCGTGAATCAGTAAATTTTTAGTGACTTACCGTGAAATGTAAAGCGAGAATAAAGGAAAAGGAAGAATACAGTATTTAATTTACTAGGTTACATTACTTAGTTAAAACAAAACATAAATGACCTGGAATACTATAAGTTGATACGATACTTACATACAAGTCATATATATATACTGTAAGTTGATGCTATTGGTACTTATAGTACTATAAGTTGATACTGTCCATCTATGTGCACAATTTCCAGCCAGTTTTAAATCAACTGACCCTTAAGGGCTTTGATGATGACTACATAATGTTCTCTTATTTTAGAAAAACTATTATAATGAGCTCTTTTCTCTGTAGCTATAACATTAGTTTCTAGGCTATACTTTTAATTTTTTTTTCATAAATAGTTATGTTCGAAAAATCTTAAAGTACAAAAATATGTCAAATAACACTAGTAATAAAATATATATCAGCTTATAATAGGCTTCAACTTCGGAAATAAATGTATATAACCTTAGAAATTATTAAACAAAGTTATCAGTGGCATTTTCCAACTCAATTGCTAATTACGATAACAATCGTAGAAATTTCTCATTAAAGTCTTACATTGTCATAACTGGAATCATAAACTGAATGGTTCACTTGGAACTGTTCTGAGCTCGTATCTAAAACAAAGACACTTCTCTTTAAGTATGATCGTGATAGCTATTGTTTCTTATCTCAACTGTTGTTTCAAGTGTAACTGCCACAGAAACTTTGAAGTTTCCATCAGTAGATTGTCGATCACAGACCTCATTCTGGTTCTTTGTTTAAAATCTAGAACAGAGATGAAATAGAGTAACTTTAAGTTTTAGTATTTTTACTTGTTATAAACTATTCCAAACTTGTACAGAAACGATGCAATTTACATTGATATTTTTGTTGAATCCCTTTTTAAATACAGTGCTGAATAAGTATTTAACATCAAACACAAAAGCATTTATTGTGATTATAGTTTGGTGTTTATACTTTACAGGTCCAGTAACTAGACTGCCTTCGGAGTGTTATAAAGATTTTTTATCTTGGTGTAAATGAAACATTTGTTTTTTTTTTTTTGTTAAAATTGTTATTACTTAGATTTTATGTATAAAATAAATATGTCTTTAATTGTTTTAAGTGAATTTCCCATATAGCGGAAAACCTTCTACCCTAAGTCGTATTGTAAGACCTAGACCCGGGACCAATTTTCTTTTCCGTTTTGATTTCCATAGAGACTAAAAACACTGTTTGTTCCAAGTCATTATTTCTTCAAAATGAATGATAATGAATGTTATATTAAAATATAATTACTAAGCAGAATGATCGGGCTATGGGAAGGGTAAACAGTTTTTGTTCCGCATTTTTGAACCTACTACATAAAAATAATTTCCAACCTATTTTCTGGAGCCTAATAATGCAAATAATTTACTATTTTTATTTAATCTTTGTTGAATGCCTAACGGTTAACGGAGAAAATTCCAAAATTGTGTAAATTAAAAACCCCATGTTATTCTCATTGAGAATACATTTTGTAATTTACTTGTAATATTGCGAAAACATTTAAACGAATTTGGAAAATTTGCTTATTTTATACTAAGCTATCAACATTTCAATAAAACACGGAAATTATTACTATCCTTGTAGCAGCAAACCTAAGTATTCATTAGAACAAATGTTGTATAGGCTAAAAAGGAAATTAATCTCACAATTTCAATGGAAATGGGAATTTGTTTAGTCTACAGGTTATCTGCTAAGCAGGTACTATAAGGATATGTAAAAACACTTTTGGTGAAATCACATGAAAGATTGAAAAAATAATATTTTGAATACATACAATAACAGTAAACAATACAACATATATATATTTAACTGAAACCATCATATCAAAATACATCATGGTTTTTTCGTTTCAAATTTTTAACAATAGTTTATCTGGTTTATCTCAAAGGTTAGTAAGTTATAATTTGACGTGGACTATTTTGCAATTATTGTTTTATACAGTACACCAAGTAGGCAAATAAATACTAATTTTTCAAAGAGAATATAAATTCTAATTTCAAATTTTCTAAATACCTCTCTACAACCCAATTCAAACCCACCAAGATAAAACGACGGGCTCAACAATAGAACCAAAGACGTCAAAACCGCTAAAAGTCAAAGACTTGTAAGCGCAGACGGACAAGAATCACTTGGCGAGTTCGCTGCCCTCCCTCCTTTCCTCTCCCCACCCCCTCATTATTGAACAGCTGTTTTTATTTGTGCCACCGCCAGTTAGATTTCTACGACGTTCTTGGCCGGTAGTAGTGGTAGTACTGTAGCAGACAACATCTTTCATGCGTGTTCATGTGTTAAGTTTTTAGGTGGTGGTTTTTGTGTGACGGTTTAGTTTAAGATGCAAATAGTGAATAAATTGCTGTGGGTTATTTCAAGTGGACCGAGCGGATTGGCTTTGTTTTTAGTTTGAAATTAGGTGAGTCCTACACAATTTACTATTTTTATAAGTGTGACAACATTGCATGTTTGTGTACACTTATTTTTATTGTATTATATTTAAAAACTATGTACTGTATACCTAGGCTATCTAAAACGTTAAGAAATTAAATAAACGCTTAGGAAGATGTATTGGTATTCAGCGAGTTTCATAACGACTCATTAAATACTAAAAATCTATTGCAAGAACATATTTTTCTAACGTCAAAAGTTTTTAAGATTCGATTGTACAAATCCCTAAACGGCGAATAAAATCACAAACTTACAAGTCACACAATAGTGTAGTTTCAAAAGTTACTAAATTCGAATGTACAGTATTTAAAAAGTTTTGATCCTGTGTTAAATTATGTGTCCAAATTTGTTACAGTATATAATCTTTATGTCCTAAAAATGAATTAGTATTGCTGAACCGTCCAAAAACAATGTTTACTTTTACTATAAAATTGTAAAGTGGAACCTCGACAACAAGACAATCGATAACAAGTCACCCTTTATAACAAGTGTCATCTTTAAATCCCCTAGAATTTATTTTACCTCTAATCACATGTCATTGCAAACCTCGATAAGAAGACAACCTTGATAACAAGTATTATTTTATAATCCTCATGAAAGTCTTGTTATCAAGGTTCTACTGGCATTTTTTTATTACTGAAGTATCTCAGTTCAATAGTGTCAATGGTGATTTTGTATGAAATAATTGCAGTAGACCTGCTTTACACAGAATTCAACAAATTTAAAATTACTCTCACTGCATGAGGTTGCCAGTCACAAGTTGCTGGTTCGATCCTGAGAAATCAATAGTTTTTTATGGATTGAACCTAGGCCCTGCTGTACTTGTTCATTTAACTTTTAATGAAATGCATGTAATGTGCTGATTGTTCAAACACAATGTAACGTACCCTTTTTCAAACACGATTCTTTTTTTAGTAAAATAGAATTTCTGATTGTTATTATTAAGGTTCACACATTATTTAGTAGCCGAATTTCATTTTGCATCGTACTTTTCGACAGACTTTTGTGCAAGTTGCAGTTTTTTACATGAGTTTATCAACATTCATAACATTATTATACACTCATTATACATTGTAGATACATTATATACTCTATACATTATTGAACATTCATTATAGGTTATCCTTATAGAAAAACCAAAGACCTTGGGAAAGAAATTTTTATGTCAGGCAGAACTCATTAAGGTTGAATTTTGTTTCTAAATTATGCTTTGGTTGATGTGTAACTATTTTTTATACAGATGTACAGAAAAGATCAAAATGTTTCTATTTCGTGTCCTCTTCCCGTTGCACGAGTACAACAGCTAGTAGAATATTATATAAATAGGCATACCTCTCAATTATTAAACAAGTTATCAATCATAGGGACAAAAATACTTTCATTTAAAACAAACTACACAAAATAAACATGAGTAAATGATTAGGAAACGGTCCAAACTGTTCAACGGTTTCTACCATTTGGTGATAACATAGATTCACGTATCAACTTAGCTAAGTAGGCCATCGCGTTATGTTAAGTTTATAATTAGCAGGTGGTAATTAGAATATTTAAATGTCCTTGTAAATGAAAAGCGGGTTTCACTTGAATTCAGTCGGATAACTTGGATAGGAACTATCAGATATAGAAACGCAATTGATCGAACGACGGAAAAATATATTTTGTAGAAGGTTTTTTTTTTTAATTTTTAATTATGGACGCTTTATTTTGGTAGTAAGTTCAATTCATATAAAAAATATTTTGTGGAATTATACTCAGCATACAGAAGGAAAAATGGTTCTATACACCAATTTGTATCTGAATTCTGGCAATATGCTGTATGTAGCCTAACTTCTTAAACTGGATGTAGTTTAGCAACAGAGTTTTGGGATCGTAGACTGAAGTAGCCAGTAAGTATGTTTAATCTATACTAGTAGGCACTGGCATAATCAAATAAATATGATTCTTCTGAAGAAATGTGTGTTTTTATTGTTTACGTAAGCAGTGGGTATGAGAGACTGAAGTACGATGCGAGCATGGAGAGGTTAAAGTCATCGATGTATAATACTCTATACATCATGGTTAAAGTAATAATAGCGATTATGAATTGCTTTGCCACATCCTAGGACGCTAGTTATAGCCCGGAACTGTTTTACATTACTTCAGGCTAGTCAACGATATAATCGTCCTAGTGGGTTGCGGCAGATAGATAAAATCCATTGGTGATTGGCGGGATTTGAACCTTCGGGCACCGAAGCCCCGCGGTCCACGACTAGACCAGCTCGCTCCATCGTTTTATGTACAGTAGCAGTGAATTAATTTGATTTTTTGTCATCGTAAAGTCGAAAATTTGTTTTTCTTATCTTACCCAGCTCAACTTAGCAAAACCCAGCTTAACCTAGAATACAATTAATTTTGGAATATTAGGTGCTAAATAAGTGCTTACATCTTGTAATTCATTATTAACCATCTACTCTGTATCATGCATGATACATATTTAATATATAATATAAGGTACAAATCACGAATCGCTAATAAAATACACTCCGTACATTTTCAGCTTGGGTTTTCTTGGCTCATTGATAAAAAACTAAAAAATAAACAAAGTGCCAACCATCGCGTCAATGGTTGTTGTATAAACCTTGTATTTGTTTTGAAGATAAAGTTTCAAGCGAAAACACCAAAAGCGTGGGCAATACACCTGGTGGAAGGTGTAAAAATACAGTGGAAAGTTAGTTTTGGCAGCCTTTGACTTTTGGCAAGGCGCTCTGGCGGATGTCTGCGTCACTTCGAACGTCTTTGATACAGTTGAGAATGGTCCATTGTCGTCTATCGCACGAGTTTATATTTTAGTAGCCTTTGACCGAGTCCAGTGGTCTACGCCGCAAAATTTATTGCTTGGCGGATTTTAGAGTGCGTCGTAAAACGAGATCCAAAACTCTTCTTAATTGTGTGGCAAAACGAATAAGATTTAAAATTCCTGTTTAATTTGGTTGGTCCAATTATGGTTAGTTTAATGGGTCCTCTTTTCCTCACTTGTTGCATTGTTATCTGGAGCAGCAAAAACAGAGCTTACAACAAATATTTGTTTTTTCAACTAAGCAACTAAACTTGATCTCAAAGTAAACTTGTCACCACCGCATTTAAACCTTAGTTTAGGGTTCTTTTAGCCTACATCAGCTCAATTTCAATATAAATCTTAATCAAAACTTCACTAAAACAATCGAGTAAGTGCAATAGTCTAAGATTGTTTAATAATGGTTATCTTATACTCAAGGTGTATTGCTATACACAGTGTCTTTTTCAAAGAGATTTGTATATAATATAATTGATATATTATTATTTTTTATCAAGGGGTTTTTTATAGTGACTTAATTGACTATTATTTCATCCAGCATATGAGAGTTCCAAACCCAAGAAAAATAAAGGAAAAACAGAGGATACCGTAAAAATAATGTTGAAAAATACCTCCCCCCTGGCTTGGGATCTAAAATGGAAATTTGCAGAGGTTAAAAAAAATCTATTTCCTTGTTACCAAGGGAGGAAATATTTTCAAAATCTCAAGACCTGCAAAATAGCCCATCTCAAAATTTCGTGATTCCAGAATAAAAGTTGACAGATGTTAATATAAGAAAATAAACAAATTTTTCTACATCATGGGTTAGGAACCACCTCCCTTTTACGCAATGGACCCTAAATGCTGGGAATTCCGAAGAAATAAATCTTGATAATATTATGAAAGTGTCACTAAAACCTACCCGGATGCAATAATGTAATTTGTTCGGTAGTCTGACAAATGTAAAACAAGTTGCAGACAAGGCAGAGGTTATATAATGGGGTTAAGGTCAACTGGGTTTGAGATCATGGGTTATACCTGTTGCCTACCTCATAGTAGAACCTTCTCAAAGATCTGGCAGCGCTACTGTCGCAGAACATGGAGGAGTACTTAACAATGTACCATATTATTACTTTTGTAAAGCTCCTGGTGGAGTAAGGGCCTTAATAACATAGGAAACTCTCCTAGTCTATGACACTATTCTATTTTCGATATATGGACTACACATTGAGGTAGGCTCCGATTTACATTGTTTCGACATTATCTTCGACTCCGGTATCTAATAGACAGTGATAAGCGGGATTAGAACATGGGGTCTCTTCCACTACAATGTACAAAATACTAGTTTAAACTTTCAAGACATATTATAAATATATTTAAAAATGACTATATGTGTCAGAAAGTCTTCTTCTGTTAATATCTTGCTGAATTTCCACAGTGTTAATTATTTAAGTGTATTTTTAATTTTAATAAATAAAGTTTAGTCTTACAAACAGGATTGCAAATTTTTTTACCGTCACATAGAAGAAGATTGTTTAAAGAAATTGGTTGTCTTTTGTCTATCAAAACTACTGTGTGTAGAATTACAATTGGTTATGGAAAATCTAGGCAGATTTTATTTAATACAACATAAAAAAAAACTTGTATGAAACAAACAATAATATAGTAAATATGTAATGGATTGTGGGATTTCAATTGTGTCAACAATGTTAACAGTGTTAATTATGTTATGTTGTTAACAATTATGTTAACAGACAGAACATGCTTGGGAAAGCTACATTTAGAAATATTAAGAGAAATATAGACACTTCTTTTAAACACCCACACTTTTGATTTGATTTGAAATCCTAACGCAGGCTGAACCTTTATCTGTTGTCGTCACAACAAGCTTAAGCAAATTCTATTATCATTTGAATGCTTGCCTTTGGCCAGCTATTAAGTTCAAATCTTTATAAACAATAGCTATTTCTGTATTAAGAGCGGCAGTGACTGTTTGTGTTCGTAATACACAAGATTTTACCACCACGATTAACTTATTATACACACAGATTAACTTTTGAGATGTATATGAAATGCCATTTAGGTTATGTTATTTGCTTGACGGTTGTTTAAAAACACAAACTCATACGAATACGACATTTATACAAACAACTTGG